CCTAAACCTAACCCTAAACCTAACCCTAAACCTAATCCCTAAACCTAATCCTAACCCTTACCTTAGTTGAAGTCGGCTTTCTGCTGCGGCGCCGTTTTAAAGCGCCCTTCTGTTGCCACGATGTTGTCGCGGCGGTGATGACGCGCAGTGATGACGTTGTGGCTTTAGCGCCGTGATTTTATCACCGCAATTTTGACGAGCGCAGTTTTGTCGTGCCATGGTGGACTTCAACTCCCAGACTCCCCCAGCCAGCATGCTTTAAGATGGATGGGCTTCAACTCCCAGAATTCCCCAGCCAGCATGCTTTAAGAGGGGGGGGGGTCAACTCCCAGAATTCCCCAGCTGACATTCTTTCAGATGGGTGGACTTCAACTCCCAGAATCTCCCAGCCAGCATGGCTGGCTGGGGAATTCTGAGACTTGACATCGACATGGCTTAAAGTTGCCAAAGTTGGATAACCTGTTTCAGGATAAGCCTTAATTTAAATTTAACAAAATGTCCCTCTTGTTAAAAACGGTGCCTTTTTTATTTTAGCTTTTGCTAACAACCCAGTTTTGCAAAAGGAGGCTGATAACAGCACTGCTTACAGTATATCTGGAAATTCCAGTTCCACTTGCTGTCATAACCCAAGGACTAGCTCTGTTCTTTGTGAGCTGGTGGCATTCAAGTCACATTAATTTTGGGCCCAGGGAGCTAAAAATGGCTTCCCTCGGCACCTGCACCAACTTCAGATGATTCACCTGAGGGTACCAAGATATTGACCAAAATGGCCAGCCCGGCCAAGATAACAGATGAAGCCTGTGTGGCCCTCCTTCCGATGTAACTCATGCCGATGGCCGAGCCCAGCTTGGCAGGGATATCAATAGTACCAAAGGCCACCTGGATGAGGTAGATGCTGAAGCCGAAATGTTGGAGGTCCATCGCCAGGCCGTAGTAAGCGAAACTGGTTGCAAACCTAAAAAAAATTAATTGGGATCTTCGTGAATCTTGTAGAAGTCGACACTTAGGTTTCTAGTCCTCATGGCAGCTCCGAGAACGAGGTCGTTAGGGAAGGAAGGGTGCCCACCGAAACGTACCACACGCTGGAAATGCAGCAGGAGATCCGGCGTACCGTGGGCGTCCGGGCCAAGGAGGCGAAGGTGTAGGACGACTGGGCCAATGTCATTTCCTTCTGCATGCTGGATTTCAAGACCTAACACCCAACAACAAAGGGGAGAAGCGAGTGCCACAACCAGAGTTTTGCTCAGCGTCTCTTGCCGTTTGGGGTATTTTCTCGTAAGGTTCTATCTCATTTGGCCCCATGGAACTGGCTTTTAAAATTTTGTTCGAAGGACCCAGCCCCTGTTATCCCTTCCCATAAGGACCTTGGCTCTGGAACCAGATCCACCAGGAGAAATTCAGCTGGGATTCTCAAAACGATGTCAACCCCTATAGATCCCACCAAATAGGAATCTGCTAGCTTTCAAAACCGAGGGACTGGCTCAGCAAACGTGCCACTCAGACTAAACCAAGAGTGTCCAACCTCGGCGATTTTTAAGACCTGCCAGAATTCCCCAGCCACGCATCCCTAAAGATCTTGCTCTCGGAGCAACCATAAGGACTAGAAACTTGGGTGTTTCTACAGGGTGGCTAATTATTAGGAGATTAATTATTACCTGGGTTTTAGGTTTTGCAACCAGGTTTGTTTACGATGGCATGGCCATGAACTTCCAGCATTTTGGGGAATTCGGGGAGTTGAAGTTCACAGGTCTTAAAAGTCGGCGAGGTTTGGCACCCTGGACTAAATCGTCAAACCTTAAACTGGTTTCTTTCAAACTGAAGTTCGGAAGCCTCCCATTTCTAAAAGACGCAGTTCCCACCATCAAACAGGAACCGACGATTTCCACGAGAGTGTTCTGAGCTAGGCTTCTCAAAAGCAGGAAGCCGACTCCTCATCCTGATAAAACCCCTTTTATTTAGTTTAAAGTGAATTCCTCTCCAGCAAAGTCCTGGCCATCAGTCTTTTCAAGAGATTTCACAACTAAAGACTTTTATCAGGCTTGGAGAGCTGGCAGGCAGATATCTTCCAAACGCCATGCTGTAGCAGCAATTACTTGGCAAGAAGTCAGGAAGAGATCTTCACTCTGATGAATGGAACTCCTGCAAGCTCCACTCCCCTTTCGCTCCTCTTTTATTCCCTATGGGAGGGGCCATTCACCGTCCACCTGTGGCCTTACTCCAAGACAATTCCTGTTCTTTAGCTGTTCCCTTCGTCTGGCAGCTCTGCGCATGCGCACACTGGGAACAGGCTCCAGCTGTTCCTCTGCCTCACTGATCTCCGACTCCG